GTGTGTGCATGTGTGTGTGCACGTGTGGATGTGGTGTGAACACATGCATGTGCACCTGTATGTGTGGATGTGAGGTGTGCACGTGTGTACGTGTGTGCATGTGTGTGTGCACGTGTGGATGTGGTGTGAACACATTCATGTGCATCTGTATGTGTGGATGTGGGGTGTGTGTATGTGTGTGCATGTGTGGATGTCGGGTGCATTACGCATTTGTGCATGTGTGTGGATATGTGATGTGAGTACATGTGTGTACATGTGTCTATGTGGGGGGTGTGCATGTGTGAATGTGGTGTGTATGCATGCATGTGCATCTGTGTGCATGTGGGGTGTGTAGATATGTGTATGTATGTGTATGGATGTGTGCTGTGTGTGTACACGTGTGTGCAGGTGTATATGTAGGGCTATGTGTGCATGAGTGTGTGTGCATGCATGTGCATCTGTGTGCCTGTGTAGATGTGCAAGAGTGGATGTGGGGTGTGTGTGAGCAGGGAACTAGGTACAGTCAGCTCAGTACTGTGGAGCCTCGTCTTACCTTTTCAAGTCCACCGTGGTCACATTAAATATAACTCCCTTTAGCCAGAGAATCATAAAGAGACGCTGAGAAAATGGGCAATTTCCAATACTCTCACCATCATAACCAGCCTACAAGTTGAAAAAAATTTTTTAATCTGAACCAGTCTCACCATTATAAATAACACATTCTACAATATACACAAAATTATTACACATTTTTATTAACAGTTCTACTGTAAATATATGTCTCAGGCCAGTTTACTCAGCCTTTAAGGAGCCCTGGTGGCGCAGTGGTTAAGCACTCGGCTGCTAACTGAAAGGTTAGCGGTTAGAACCCACCAGCCACTCCATGGAAGAAAGATGAGGCAGTCTGCTTCTGTAAAGATTACAGCCTTGGAAACCCCATGGGACAGATCTACTCTGTCCTATAGGGTCTCCACGAATCGGAATTGACTCCACTGCAATGCTGGAGGTGGGTATGGGCCGAGGTGATGCTGGGGAGAGGATGGGTGGGACAAACACACACACACACTCACACTCACACACTCACATTATCACAAGGCACTGAACATTTTCTTTCTTCCCTCCCCACCACCTCACCACTTCCTGCCATGCACTTGGGCCTCTGAGCAGCAAGAAGGGACTCCGTTTGCATACCAAAGGTCAAACAAGAAAAACGCTCTTTCCCTCCCTCTGTCTCTTGATTCTCTCCAGAAGCAGCATGCCTCTCTTTCCAGGATGGTCTTACTTAAAAACACAACAGCAAGCTCTCACACAAAGCCCCCATGTCTAACAGCTGACACTGAGCTCACCTACAGAACGAGAGGGCTGGATTTCCTGAGCTCTAAGATCCCTCTCTGGTTCCTGAGGTGGCAGAACGGTGAGAGGGGGCACACCTGCACTTAGAAGGTAAGCTATCACACGTAGGCATCAAGCGTGCAAGGATATGAAAGGGCTACTCCTTAAAGCCCCAAAGCAAGTCTCATTCACACACGCACCCTAAACACAGGCAAAGAAATATCCTGAACACACTTCCTCCTTCCTGGGAGTTTCTATCAGGGGAGAAAGGCAGAGGCTGGAGAAGATGCTTGTGGGCTGTTATGGATTGAACTGTGTCCACCAAAAAGGTATGCTGAAGTCCTAACTCCCAGCCCCTGTGAATTTGACCTTCTTTGGAAACAGAGTCTTTGAAGACGTTAGCAGTTAACAGGGGACATATGCAGAAGGGTGGATCCAAATCCAGTATGAGTGGTGTCCTCATACCAGAGGAGAAGGGGCACAGAGAGAGACACAGAGCGAAGGCAGCCATGTGAAGATGGAAGCAGAGGATACAGTGATGCAGCCACAAGCCAAAGATCGCTGGCCATCACCAGAAGCTAAGAGGCATGGAACAGATGCCCCCCCAGAGCCTTCAGGAGGAATCAACACAGCCAGCACCCTGATCTCAGACTCCTAGCCTCCACAACTGTGAGACAATAAGAATCTGTTCTTACAGCCGCGGGATTTGTGATACTTTGTTACAGCAGTTCTACGAAACAAATACACAGAGCTTTGCAACTCCTGGTGGCACAGTGGGTAAGCATTTGGCTGCTAACCAAAAGGTCAGCAGTTCAAATCCACCAGCCTCTCCCTGGAAACCCTATGGGGCAGTTCTACTCCGTCCTATAGGGTGGCTGTGAGTCAGAATCGACTCCAAGCAACATGTTTGGTTTTTGATTTTTTTGCAACTCCTGGCAAGCAGAGTGGTGGAATCAAAGCCAACAAGAGGAAGTTCCAAACCCTGCTTTCTCGTCCTAGCTTTCCGCACTCCGCAAGTCTCTGGCAAGATTACGGCGCTAATAAGTTGCCACCAAAAAGGCAAGGAGGGCGCTTGGACGTGCTCAGTCAGACTTCATGGCGAACAGATGCACACGGCTGTGTTTAGCGCACGAGGTCCACTTCTCTGCACCTAATTAAAGAAAGTGAGCGGAAAGCACTCTTCCTATCACCTGAAAAACAGCAGCACACAACGCAGAAAGCGAGCTGCTCCTGTGGGAACTGAAGAAAAGAAAAAAGACGGCTCGAGGAAATCGAACAGCCTAAGGAGACGCTTCCGAGAGCTGGTCTGTGACGTTCGCGGTCGTCCGAGTCACCCGGGGAGGCTGTTACTAACGCAGAGAGGTCCCTACAAATTAACAGGAGAGACACCTGAGGACCTGGTTTTAAAGACGCTTCATTAGCCTCTTCATGAAAGAGGAAACCCAAGTAGCCAAAAAGGACATGAAGAGTTTATGAACATCATTAGTCAGCAGAGTGATGCAAATTAAAACTACAAGGAGATACCACCACACATCTACTAAAATGGTTAAATTAAAAGGGCTGACAATACCAAGAGCAGACAAAAATGCAGAGCAGCTGAAATTCTCATTCATTGCTAGCAAAAGCGCCCATTGGTATAGCTACTTTGAAAACTATTAGGGGATTATCTACCAAAGCTAAAGATACATTTACGCTACGACACAGCAATTCCACTCCCAGCAGAAATGAGTGCTTATGGACACCAGGAGACAAACACAAACACTCACAGCAGCTTTACTGTAACAGCCAAAACCTGGAAACAACCGAAAGGCCATCAAGAGTAACATAAATACATAAGTTGTTACACAGTCGTACTATACCACAATGGAAAACAATTAGCTTCTACTACAAGCAACAAAATGGATGATTCTCACATATGTAATGCTGACAGAGGGAGCCCTGGCTCAATGCTTAAGCGCTCGGCTGCTAACTGAAAGGTCGAAGTTTGAACCTACTCAGCAACTCCAAGAGAGAAAAAGACCTGGCGATCTGCTCTATAAAGATCACAGCCTAGAAAACCCTAGGGGGCAGTTCTACTCTGTCACATGGGGTCACTATGAGCTGGAAATCAATTAGATGGCACCCAACAACAACCATGCTGAAAAAAAGCAGACTCAAATGTCCTGTACAATTCAGTGCAGGTGAAATTCAAACAGGCAGACTTCTCATGGAGACGGAAGTCAGGACAGAGGCGACCCCAGATGACCGGTACTGTGTGGAAAGGGCAGGAGGGAGCCATCCGGGGCAGGAGAAGAGTTCTATGTATCAATCGGAGTGCTGGGTACCCAGGTGTATTTGGTCAACAGACTCTTAAGGTTTGAACACTTTACTGCATATAACTTATACCTCAATACAAAAGAAAAGAAAGTAAAAAAAAAATTTTTTTAATGCAGTCAGCTTCCGTGGTTCTTGCATGGGGCCCAGGAATCTGAATTTTAACAGGCTCCCCCAAGGTGATGTGATGCTGGTGGTCGGAGACCACACCTGAGAAGCATGGCCACAGGCCACCCTCGGGCAAAGGGAAAGCCAGGCGCACCAGCGTTATTACCTACGAGTAAGACAGACCTGTGCGAACCCCAGTGGACAATACGCAGATACAAGGATTTGAAAGACTTCCAATGGATAAACACAGCTCCACGAACATGGAGATAAGGGGCAGACTTAATACATTAAGGGGGTACTGTTATGGATTTAATTGTCCCCCAAAATGTGTGTCCATTTGTCTAGGCCGTGATTCCCACTATTGTGTGCTTGTCCACCATTCTGTGATCTGATGTGATTTCCTATGTGTAGTAAATCCTATCTCTATGACGTTAATGGGGCAGGATTAGAGGCAGTTTACGTTAGTGAGGCAGGACTTAATCTATAAGATTAGGTTGTATTTTGAGTCGATTTCTTTTGAGAACCAATGAGAGGGACCTCCTACCAACAAGAAAGAAGTGCCAGGAGCGGAGCGTGTCCTTTGGACCTTGGGTCCCTGTGCTGAGAAGCTCCTTGACTGGGGAAGATTAATGACAAGGTCCTTCCCCCAGAGCCAACACGGAGAAAGCCTTGCCCTGGAGCTGGAGCCCTGATATTGGACTTCAATCCTCTTAGACTGTGAGAGAAAACATTTCTGTTTGTTAAAGCCATCCACCTGTGCTATTTCTGCTACAGCAGTGCTACATAACTAAGACAGGTACCAGCAGACTGAGAACTCAGTGGTAGAGTTCTCGCCCAGCCAATGGACCTCATGTACAGCCACCACCCATCTGTCAGAGGAGGCTTGCACGTTACTCTGATGCTACACAGGTTTCAGCAAAGCTTCCAGACTAAGACAGACTAGGAAGAAAGGCCTGGCAACCTACTGCCGAAAATCAGCCCGTGAAAACCTTATGGATAACAACAGTCCCATCTGCAACTGATCATGGGGATGGCGCAGGGCAAGGACGCGTTTTGTTCCGTTGTGCATGGGGTCACCATGAGCGGGGGGCCGACTCAAGGGCAGCTAACAAGCTCTGGGTCCACGTTTCCCACCAAGCTCACCCTCCAGCCCCTCCAACTCTCGCCTCCTCAGCCCGGCACTGATTTGCCTCTCTGCCTACTGAAGCGGAGGGGCTGGGAACTCCCCCAGCTGGAGCCTATAGAGGCGCTGGTGGGTGGAGGAGTGGGGAAGTGAACAATATGACCCACACATCCACAGAGCGGTAGCAACTTCCCTGCAGAAGACCCTGAAATAGCACCATCCACCCACAGAGGCCATTCCATCACCTTCCGGCCCACAAAGCTGAGCCATTTGGAAACCAGACTCTAAAGAGTCCTGCAGAATTCAGGGAACTTCAAACCCAGGCCACTTTCTCTGTGGCGATGATGCCCAATGCCCTCCTGCTCCGGAGCGAGACAGCAGAGCTGAATGATCTAAGATCCCCATGGCTTGCTGCTGGGGAACCATCTTCAATCACGGGACTTTCTCAACTCCTGCAGGTCTGGGCAAAGCCAGGCCAAGCAAAGGGGCGGATGAAAGCACAGGAGGCACACACAACCACGTATTTCAACCAGTCCCGACTCGCCCTGCAGCTTTTAAACCTCTCATTTCACAGTGGTTGTACGAGCCCGGCGAAGTCTGCAGTCAGTCCTGTGGAGTGCTGTGGCTGTTTCTCTGAGCTTGTCCCTCTAACCTTTGGGGTCCTGTTATAACTCACTCTGAATGCGGCAAATCCCTCCTGAGCGCTGTGCCTTCTCGCAGGCCGCGCCGGCCTCCTGATAAAGCTCACCTTGACAAAGAGCTCTGTGTCTGGGAGCGGCCCCCCTGTCCGCCGCACCCATGGAACCTGCAGAAC